CCGCCGCATCTCGCAATCTCACCCTACCCCAAGCTCTCAGCCCTTGCTCTCTCCCGTGCTTTACCACGTTCCAGATGAAGAAGCTTGATAGGAGGTCGAGAGGAGGAGGAGCTTGGCGCCGCTTATCTCGTGAATCTGGAGGGCAACCCCACAACACCTTCTCCAAACAGTTGCCGAAACGGGGCATCTCCCGCTGCAGCATCGGCAGATTATCGTTGAGGACCAATCAAATGGCAGATTTTCAAAACGTTAATACTTGAATCTGTGATGAGTTGTCGGTGTAAGAATTGTCGTGTCAAGATAGCCGACGACTTCTCCCGATCGGCCCTGCGTTCACTAGGATGTCTCACAGTCCCGCTTGGACCGCGATTCCTTTGACTCTCATGAGATGGCCTTGTTGGACATGTGTGCGTCTAAGTGGCCCATTGGCGAGTGCTTTGGGAAGTTATTGGTCCAGTCTATGGGAAAGTGTCAAGATTGATCGCGTTGGGCCTTCAGCCATCATCAATCCGCAAATGAGTCTACTGTAATGTACACAACTGTCAACCGGAGAACAACGTGACTACTCATTTAGCATTGGTAGGTCTCGACTCCTATGGCGTATGGGTGCAACCTTCCCTGCTCATGCCTCCTTTGCCCTCTCTTCTCCGACGGAACCGCTTTGTGTTTGGTCTTGATCGCCTGCCACACTTGAAGTCGGCTTCTTCGAGAACATGCCGACACCCGGCAAACTCACACTAGGCATGCTTACCGCGGGCATGCTGACGCTCGGGACGGAGACTTTCGGCATCGACATGCTATCCATCGTAGGAAGCTTGGTGGGCCAGTATGACTTGATGTTTGTTCCGGTCTGCTGAGCAACGCCGAAGAGGTACCGCATGTATGCCTGTTTGTCCTCCGCGGGCTTCTTCGTCTCTCCATCACCCATCAGCTCATCTTCGATATCATCCGGAAGCGGTACCAGGGAGGCCGCAGCAGCAATGTCAATGGGCGACTCGTCGGGTATGGTATCCCCTGACTCCTCGACCGAGGGGCTAGTCTCCGTTCCTGCCTCTGCTCCCTTCTTATCGGTTGGCAAATCCTCAATGTTGTCTTGACCACTCTCCACAACCTTTGCAAGCACCTCGTCCTCACTGGGCTCAGCTGGCACATCGGCAAACTTGGGATTGTCAAACAGTTTGGTCTCGTCATTGAACCAGCCGACAACCAGTTTCGCGGCCTCGTTCGTCATCAACTCGTAGCCCTTGTTTTTATCCGGCTTGAACATGCTCATATGCGCCTGGATCTCATCCTCCGTCCCATCAACCACATGTCTCGAGAACAATGTAGCAGCTGGCTGGTCTTTGGCCGGGATAGCACAAAAGGTCCTCTCCGGGACGAAGTAGCCCCCGCTCCAGTACCCATTCTCGCCCATCGACGCATACAAGTCGGCGATGCCCACGCCTTTTAGCGAGGTCATCCGCTCCAGCCGTCTGTTCAGCTCATTTTGCTTCAGCAACGCACCAACAAAGGTGAAGTGATCCGACAGCCAAGCAAAACTCTGTCCCACATTGCCCCTGTTGATGTACGCCAGCCCTTGGCCCAGCTTATCAACGCTCTGTTGGTATCCTTGGACAACGCTTTCCTTGTTCAGCTTCCGCACGCTGTTGAGTCCCTCAATGATCTGTTTCCGGTGCGTGTACGCAGCTACACCACCTGCAGCGATAGCACCCACCGTGCCGGTCTTGACAGCTACGAGCTGCCACGCCTTCCAGGCGGGGGCCGAGGATCTCTTCGCGCTCAAGGCCGCGCCTGCCCCTCCTTTGGCACCTAGCTTGGCAAGAGTGGCTGGTGCGCCTGCGGCAAGAGCTGTCATGACGTTGAAGACGTTGCTAACTTTGGAGTAGTTGGAGAAGGCACCGTAGACGAACATGGACCGCGCCAGGCCGTTGAAGGGTGTGTCAAAGGTGAGAATACCTTGGATGAGGGGGAACATGGGAGACGTAGGATTCTCACTCGCGCGGCGATCGTTGAGGATCCGGAAGAGGGTGTCTATTGCCACGAAACCTCCCATCGAGTGGGCGATGAGGATGACCCCGACGTGGCGATCATTAGGCGGCCATGGAGTTTCTACGTGGGCTTTCCTGACTTCCATTACCCGTTCCTTCAGCCTGCCAGCCAGTGTTAGCGTTGTCATCACCGTGTATGGATGCGCAGGTGACAGACCATTCTAGGAAGGCAGCAGTAGTCTCTGCTAATTCTCCCTTTGTCTCATACTTGGGGTAAACGATGGACTCAATATGGTCGCCTCCTAGGTTGCTTGATAGGGTCTGGTTCAGGTCGTCAGGGAAGTGCTGGAAGGTATCGTCGTCGCCCTTGAAGCCATGAATGAAACAGAGCAACAATACTCTCTTCATCGTACTAGATTGGAAGTACGGCTGTGGTAAGGTAATGTCCAACCGCGTGAAATACTATAGGGTATGTCTCTAGGTGAGCTAGGCTTAACTCTACTTAAGAGCGCAAGGTGAAATCATTTTGGGGCATGAGGAACGGTAGCCTCAAGTGATATAGAAACTCTCCCGGACAGCACACATGCTTGTAAGTCGTCGTTTCCATGAAGTCAGCCACACATGCATTGAGCTTCTGACCTGGTTTCTGGGTTGTGGCGCTTGCTCTGTGAGAGGCTCAAATGAACGTGAGGGGGGGCACCACCGCGTCACGGACGACGTCATCTTTCACATGTGCTGAGCGGAATGACTGCACCACTATTTCGCGGCTCACAAAGTGTATTCTTCAATCGACCGCGCAATTGTCTGCAATTTCAATTTGATGCCCAGTACAAAACGTACTGTATCGCTGTCATGAGCTGAGTGCGCCAGTAGGACATTGCGTGTTCCCGGCTCTCACCGTATCATCCCGCACCTGCTTCAGAAACGGAAGGAGTGCCGTCCCGCCCGTACCAGTAAGCTCCTGAATCTTTTCCCCAGCGACACCATACTCGCCGGACAACGTGCTCGCCAGGTTGACCTTGCCAGCCGCCCCTGAGGCATGCTTTCTAGCCGGGATGGTGATATACCTAGCCACAATCTCCAGGTGTTTGTTCCTAAAGTCTGCCAGCGTCCGTGTAGCGGCTTGGAATGCTTCCCTCAAGGTCTGTTCCTCTGGCGAGTTGCCTAATTGAGTCACCAAATCCCGGATACTTCCCCTATTCGCGATCTGCTCAAGGAAGCGCCGGTGCGGACCAGGCATGTATGCCCTGACTTCCTCGTGGAAGCTCATCTCTCCGCCTCCACATTCTGGTTCAGGAGTGCTATTTCCACTGGCCACGTGCTCCACGCCAAGGACAACGTCGAGGAACTGTATCAGCGAACTCTGACCATTACTGCCACCCCTGAGCTGAATCCAATCTCCCTTCCCGTCTCCCTCGTCATAATAGACCCCGCGCGGCAGGCCTGCAGGTCCCATGTTCTTGCTGCCTGCCAGGAAAGGCCGGATCTGATGGAAGAATACCTGGGGATTACATTTCTCGTACATTCGACCAAGAAGAGACTTGAGTTGCCGGATACAGCTCGACAAATCGTCCAATGCGACGGCGATAGTGAGGTAGTCTTTCCGTCCGGCGGCCTTCAGTGCCTCAAGCATAAAGGGCATTATAACAGCGCCTTGGGCTTCCATGGCGACGGAGATGATGTAGAACCATGATTCGTCTTCGGTGCCTGTGAAGGTGTGGAGGGCATGAAGCGCGTCGGGCGAGGTGAGTTGTGGGCTGGAGGATGTAAAGTTCCAGAGGTTGAGGGCAGCATAGGTCGCGACTGGCGGGAGGTCGAGGTGTGTCGAAACCTCGAGTAGTGGGACGGTGATCGAAGGTGGAAGAATTTCTGATGGCTTGTCACCGCCCCAGACATAGCCGTGGGCGAGGAAAGAGAGGATCAAGTATGCTCGACGCCATTCTGGGGTGGTGTGCAGGTGGTCCACCGATAACACAGGAAGTCGTTCAACCTTTGCTCTGAGCTCCCGACCATGGATTAGTTCAGAGAGCTGATGGATCACAGTCTCCCATGGTTTATAATATGCGTCTGGAAGAATGGTCAAGGGGAGGTCGCTTGGCAAGAACCCGTTCTGGCCAACATCAAACTCCCTGAGGGTAGGCTGATGTGTAGCAAGAGTTGCCAGAGGCACTTGATCTTCATGTGCGAACATGGCTATAATGTGAAGGACCGAAAGAGAGGGGGGCGCTAATCGAGTAATACTGGCCTTTGTCCATCGTGCTCACTTACTTACCTGGGAGCTCGAGGACAGTAAGTAGCCACCGGCCCATGCTCAAGATGAGTCCCGCTTGGCGGCCGCGCCTACTCATGACCCTACCGATTCCCTGCATCGCATCAAGCGGGCCACCCGGGTTGACACAATGGAAGCGGTGCGCCTAGGGACAAGCTTGGTTATACGAGCCGGTCCCTGCTTTGAGCGATACCTGGTTCTCATTACCTCACAAACAATGACGGAATGGCTTGATGGGTGAAGTGGGCTTCCAGAATGCCTGGAAAAGGAATGTCCAGATATTGGTAAATCATTGTTCTAGGTCACGCCTCGGTCTACCTTGGTCGGCTAGCGGCGGCATCACAGCACCGTGGCAGCGGAACCGGCCAGAAGCGGCTTCGGGGAAGGACATCGGATAGGCAGCGTACGAACGGGGGCACACCGATTTACGAACGCCATGCCGAGCCTAGAAAATTGATCGAACCTTAGTAAGGCCAAGGTGAAAGCAGGCAAGGAGGATACGGACGTGAAGTCGCGTCATTTTTGCTTATCGATACGCAGCGTGAGCATTGTACTACTAATAGCCCATGAGCAAGTTTGCGACTGATTCAACCATTGAGCAACATGAGGTGAGTACCTAAAATGATTGCCATTATACCAAAAGTAATCCTCGGCAAGATAATGGTACCAGGATCATGGATATCTTACCTCACTCGTGTCCAATATGGTCATATTTGCTATGATGCAGACAATTGACATAAGCTGGCAACGTGACGGAGTGGTTAACGTGCTGCCCTCGAAAGGCAGTTCCTTCGGGAGCACAGGTTCGAATCCTGTCGTTGTCGTTTTTGTGTTATATGCTTATCTTCTTTTTGGCATCTTTGACGTGTGTTTGCCTTGTTACAGATGAACTTACCTTACCCTGCGCTCTGATGTTTACGGTTCAGAGTCCTTGCTGGATACTGTGAGGTCGGCGCACGTGTGTGACGAGCTGTCTGGAGGATCGCAACGTGAAGGCGGGGTTCCGAACACCGGAAGAAAACCAGGACGGACTCGACCTCCTTGTCAACTTTAACACTGCGAAGTCCAATTGGATAGATTGGGAAGGTAAGGATTGCTTGGGTACCATCTTAGTGTTGCTGTCACCATGGACGATATCCGAGGTCACCGTCGTTGGATGCGCTAGATGCCGATCTCCATCTACCCTGGGCCAGAGAGACGTCCAATTGTCCAATCGGTGCCAAGATGTCTGCCACGAGGCACGTAAGACCCGTTGCCGACCGTTGGGATATCCGGCTCTCAGGTACCACCCGTGGCAATAGGTTCGATCTCATTGGTCCTCGTCTCATTCGATTGCTATGGGGTTCCTTCGCATGCACTGGCGGGAGACCATCAGTGGCCTGGTGGTACCAGCAGTTACTGTCGCACAGGTGAACGGCGGGGAGAAAGCCTCTTACTGACATCCAGCTCGGATACAGATGGAAATCCTCAACTACTACTTGACAAGGTCACGGCAACAAGGACGGACGCTAGCTGTGACCTTGCAGGATGCTGCAGATGTAGTACATCTCCTCAAATGGTGACCGAGGGCCAATCCAGGCGTATGAACACCCGGTATATCGCCATGTGGTAGAAGTGGCCTGCTCGATGAACCGGGCCGTGAGGGGTCGAGGAAGAACGTGGCCGGGAGTGCAGATGCGACACTTACAAACCCTCAAGCACGACTTTGTCTGCTTCATGCTATAAAGATGATTTAGAGCCCCCATGGAAGTTTGTGTCAGCCAGGCAGTTCTGTCAGCGAAGTTCTCTCAACACCAGCCAAGAAACCTCACAAGATGTTGCCCAGCGCCGCCCTCTTTGGCATGCTGGCCTTGGTGGCCGCTGCCGAAGCCGCGACTCCAAGCCCAGCAACATGCTCCGCAAGAGGCGTCAAGAAGCTCAAGGCCAACATCAAGAACGTCGTCATCTTGGTCATGGAGAACCGTTCGCTCGACAACCTGCTGGGTGGTCAGACGACCAAGGGCATCGAGAACCCCATCAACAACGGCCCCTACTGCCAGCCTCTCAACCTCACGGATCCCTCCCAGGGCACCGTGTGCAGCTCTGCCTCGGACTTTGACTCTGTTCTCAATGATCCGGACCATGCTGTCTATGGCAACAACATTGAGTTCTACGGCGACTTCACTCCTGATAACCAGGCCATCGCCAACGGCTCCCTTGTTCCCACCATGAAGGGCTTCGTCCATGAGCAGCTGCGTCTGTACAGCTCCAAGGTCAACAAGACGGACTTGGCCAAGCAGGTGTTGAACTACTACACCGAGGAACAGGTGCCTGTTCTCACCTCCCTGGTCAAGAACTTTGTGACTTTTAACCACTGGCACTCGGATGTCCCAGGAGTGAGTTTTGGAGTCCTCTGATCAGTATTACTCATGATTACTGACTTAAGACCCAGCCGACGAACCCCAACCGTGCCGCCTTGACTTCTGGAACCTCTCACGGCCACGGCACCAACAATGCCACCTTCAACAACCACGGTATGCCCCAGCGCTCGCTGTTCCAGCAGCTGTCCGAGCTCGGCCGCTCCTGGATCAACTACGTCGACCCCAAGGGCGGTACTGGCCCGGACGCTGGGTTCTACAACTGGACCTACACCAACGGCAAGACTTCCCAGATTGTGCCCCTTGCCAACTTCTTCACCGATGCCGCCGCCGGTAAACTTGCAGAGCTGTCGTACCTTAACCCCTCCTGCTGTGGCGTTGGTACCAACTCGATGCATCCTTCCGGTCTCATCTCCGATGGCCAGATCCTCATCAAGTCGGTCTACGACGCTCTCCGTGGCAGCCCTCAGTGGAACAACACCCTCTTCATTCTCACCTTTGACGAGACCGGTGGATTCGCCGACCACGTTCCCCCTCCTCTTGCCCCTCGTCCCGACGACCTCACCTTTACAGCCAAGACACCAGATGGAGACTCGTACACGCTGCCGTTCGACCGTCTCGGCGGGCGCATCCCGACTCTCCTCGTCTCACCGTGGGTGGGCAAGGCGAAGGTCGAGCAGAAGTATCCCAACGCTGCTGGCGCAACCGTGTCCTACTCTGCCACCTCTATCCTGAAGACTTTGGGAGAACTGTGGGACTTTGCTCCCTTCAACCCTCGTATTGAGGCGGCTCCTAGCTTCGCGCATCTGATCAGGTCGACCATCCGGACAGATGTGCCAGCCAACCTGCCTGCACCGGTTGCTTTCAAGAAGGGTAGAGCACTGGAGGGTCGGATAGCCGGAAATCTGGAGGCGATCTAGGGTGGCAAGAGGGATGTGCTGGTGAAGATAGGCATGCAATCAAGGTAACTTGTGGTTGGGCAAGACAGTGTCACGCTCTTCGCATCAGACTCCAGCTCGTCTGCAAGAGTCTGTAGATGTGAGTAAATAGCTACGGTATGAATGAAAGGTACTGTTTGGGTGATGAGGCCGATTACCGACTGTGAGCCATGATAGGTGCTCCCACCATGCCGACATCCGACTATGATACTGGCCGTGAGATTTGCACTAATCACGACATCAGCCGTTCACACAGATGACCGTGGTCCCCGCGACTGAGTTCCCGCGCCTGTGCCGATATGCCGGCATGCCCTGAAATCCTATGGTAAAAGATAACAGTCGCCATTCATGCTACTATTGCGACTGACAGAGACGCACATCTCACCATATGCTGATCTGTGACGCGATAGAGCATTTTGTCCAGGAAAGATGCACATATATCAGTCAAGGCTCCTTCATCAGACAACCGTCCAGCGACACTTCATCTTTCTCAGTCCGCCCTTGTAGTTACCGCTGCCTGAACGAGGTAATCGAAGATGTCCACTACCACCACTATTACCAAAGAGCAGACTCCAGAGAGTCTCACTCTGGCTTACACGCCGGAGATACATCAAGAGGTTCGACTCAGCATGCTGACGAGGAAACCACAGGGTCTAACACAGTCGTAGTACAAATATGCTCAGTACCTGCCCGTATATGACTCCAGAACCCACTTTCCACCTCTGGAGCCTTTCGATTTCACAGACCGGGGTCTTGCTGCCGACAAGTCTAAGCCTAACCTTCTCTCGAAGGACAATGCCTCACTCAAGGTCACCAAGCTCACCCCCGTCATCGGCACGGAGATCAAGGGCCTGCAGCTTTCGGAACTCAACGATGTTCAGAAGGACGAACTCGCGCTACTCATTGCTGAGCGAGGCGTCGTAATCTTCCGCGACCAGAACTTCAAGGACATCGGCATCGACAAGCAAAAAGCATTCGGTCGCTACTTTGGGCCGTTGCACATCCATGTAAGTTTCCCCCGTCGAACTAAGCAAGGAGCTCACTGACAAAACATCTCATAGCCTGTCGGCTCTCACGTCAAGGACCACCTGGAACTGCACAACATCTACCTCGGTCCCGACAACGAGTACCGCAACCGCAACAAGAGTAACAAACTCACCACAACCGGCTACCACTCGGACGTGTCCTACGAGCACCAGTCACCCGGCATCACCATCCTGACCCTGCTCTCCGTCCCCGAGACCGGCGGAGACACAGCATGGGCCTCCCAGACAGCTGCCTACAACCGTCTCTCGCAGCCCATCAAAACCCTCCTCGAGGGCCTCCGCGCCGAGCACAGCGGCTTCCCTCAAGCCGACAACGCCCGACGGGACGGCAAGTTCGTCCGTCGCGAACCCATCAAGACGGAGCATCCCATCGTCCGCATCCACCCCGTACGTCTCCCCTTCCCCCTCCTTCCCTGCTCCCCGTCAACTAACCATAACCACCCCTCCAGGCGACCGGCCAGAAAGCCCTCTTCATCAACCCCGGCTTCACCAAACGCATCATCGGCCTCCGCGACGAGGAGTCGGACGCCCTACTCAAGCTCCTCTTCAGGCACATCACGCACGGCCAGGACTTCCAGGTCCGGGTCAAGTGGGAGGAGGGAACCGTGGCTCTGTGGGATAACCGTGTGACAGCACATACCGCCATCACGGATTATGACGTTCATAACCCGCAGGAGGGGCTCAGGCACGGGTTCAGGATCACGACGTTGGCGGATAGGCCGAGGGGCGTGGATGGGTTGGAGTCGGTTTGGTAACTTTCCTGTTTAGGGTATGCTGAGTTGGAGTTGTAGGGTAACCTGAAATGTGACCGGATTTCATGAGATCCACACCTCCCAAACAGAGCGAAAAAAATCAGCCAAGCCCTCGAGTCATGTACCGCCTTTGACAAACACCTTATGAACCACAGCTCTCATTAACTTGGTGAGATGGCCGAGCGGTCTAAGGCGCTACGTTAAGGTCTTTCAAAACCTTAAAAACAAACTTGTTATCCGTAGTCCGAAAGGGCGTGGGTTCGAATCCCACTCTCATCATATCCTTTTGGCCTTCGTGCCCACACACCGTACCCCTGGAGATGTGGTGACCTTTTTGGTCATGGCAGCAGGTTTCAGGACAGCTGGGGAAGTAGAAGCATAATCTCAGGGTGGATGTCAAACTCAGGGTTATGGAAGGATGGCGCAATGCCTGTTCTGAATTCTCCAAATTAGGGGGTGCCTTGCTTCATACAAGGCTCGCTTCTATATACCCATCATGCCACACAAACTATCATCATCATATACATGTCCACATATACAATACGCCGACCACGTTACACTCGTCACTGCACAACCCGGCCACACCCCTTGCAGCTGAAGATCTGCTCCCCAGCCACTCTCCTCGCCTTGAACTCCCGGCCCCCACAACCGGCACAACGCATCTCCTCCTCCTCCCGACTGTCCTGACGTCCTCGTTCCTGCTCAAAGTTCAACTCCGAGGTCAGGCGGGACGCCACGGAGTTGCCGCGACTATAGCTGCTGTCATAGGGGCTCAGATCTGGACTGTTGACGGCTGGCCAGCCGTCTGACTCCTCGGACTCGGGGAGGTTGATGCTGGGTATCGGAGGGGTCGGGACTGTTGGTGTCTGTGCTTGAGATGACAGAGTGTGCTGGCTGCCGACTGGAGTATCAGACGCCGAGGACAGGGAGAGAATGGCGGTGACTTGGCGGCGGTTGTGATCGGGCCGTTTCGCGTCTTGAGCTCCGGGTGAAGGTGTTGCTCCAGGTGATGGATCCTCCCCTCGGATGGAGGAGCGGGACTTCGAGCGGGAATGGTTGTTACCGTCCTTAGGTGATGAGCCGGTGCGGAAGGCGTTGACGGCACTGTTACGCACAGCAATGTTTCGCCATTTGTTCAGGTTCCAGAAGGAGTAACTAGCTCCGGCTGGGTCCAGTGTCAAAGGGTCATCTTCCTCGTCCGCCGGGACGAAGGAGAAGCTCGGCGCTGGTAGAGGGCCGTTGCCTTCTTTGTCCTTGTCCGGTCTGTCCTTCTTGTCCTTGTCTCTCGAATGTGGAATGGCATGGGGAGCGGTTTGGTCACCACGGAGACTGCCATAATTGCTGGTTGACGGGCTGGCCAATGATCCGGTGCCCGGCCGGCCTGATGTCGGGGTACGGACTTGTGCCTGTGTCCCGGTATCACTGGCGATGGAAGCCAGCTGTGGCCTCGACTTACTTGGACTCAACGACCTCTCGCCCCGTTCTTGGACTTGGGCTGCTATGTTGGGGTTGCTGAAGACAGAACTAGCCGGTCTATGAGGGCCATTGCCTTCTATGCCTTGACGCCACGACAGGATCCGATCTGACTCGGACCCAGCATTGAACCCGCCCAGATGAGGCGACACCACACCCGAGGACGGACCCTGTACAATATGACTCAAGCTTCCTCGTCGGCTATGGGCTCGGGTACTCGCACTGTTACGGCTGATGATGCTGGCGCTGCGGTTGACGCCTGAACCAATGCTGAAGCCGCCGCCCAGGTTCTGGCTCTGCTTGCGTCCAAAGGTGGAGCTTGCCGTCTCCCAGGTTTCATGTCGCCGCTTGACAAAGGCACAATCCTGCCTAAACACTTTGATAATGCCTGTGTCATCCGTTGTCACAATTATTTGACCGTCGTAATGTGTTGACCGGGCAATGTACGCCGGAGATTCTTCTGGTTTCCTGATGACAACCTGTGGCTTTGGTGTTTGAACTTCGTCGATCCCAACTTGGCTGGACACGGCACTGGCAGCTTCCTCCAAGCTCATCAACGTCACGGGGGGTGGGTTGCATAGCTCGAAAATGGGATCGCCACCTCCGTTCAGGAGGATCCTCGTCTTGGTTGGTGCGAATATGGCGGTTGTGACAATCTCGGGATGGGCATCGAAGTATTCGTAAGGCTTCTTGTCTCTGTTCTCCTCGACTCCGGTAGACATGGCGTTCCAGATGAAGGCTCTTCGATCCTCACTGCCGCTGATGATGTATCTTCCATCATCCGAAAAGCTAGCAGCAATCTGGCTGTAGGCATTCTCGTGACCTTTCAGCTTTGTCTCCAAGGCCTTGTCTCGCAGATTGTAGATTCGAATGCGACTGTCATTGGAGCTGATCAATACCTTGACGTTGTCCATAGCGGCCAGATCTGAAGACGTTCGTGATGAGGGGATGCCCATAGGCGCTCCTCGTGAATTGGTTGCAGACATGTTCGGGTTGATAAGCATCGTGGTTATACCAGTGATCTTGCTGCCTTTCGCATTCTTTCCTCTCGTTGAGCGGACGTGGATCTGGTCTTGGTACTTCAACCCCTCTGTATCGTAGAACATACACAGGCCGTTGAGAAGACCGGCAATGGACGTCTTGCCATCGGGAGAAAAGGCAACAGCAGTGATCAAGTCCGGCAACTGGACCGAGTAGGACACATTCTTATCCGAAATGCACCATAACCGCAAGACCGAATCCAGCGATCCCGCCAAGAAGAAACGGTCATCTCTGGGATGGAACGCGAGCCGTGTGACGAAGTCCTTGTGCTTGAAAGTGCAGAGGCACTCGTTTCTGGTGATGTGCCATAGCCGTACCGTCTTATCCATGGACGATGACAGCAGAAAGTTGTTTTTGCTCCAGCTCAGGTCCAGGATTTCCCCGGTGTGTCCCTCGAATTCCCGGTACGGCTTCTCCATAAAGACAGGCGCACTCAGCCGTTCTCCGCTCACGCCGTTGGCTATTTCCTCCTCTTCCTGCGCCCTCCGCTCTTCTGCCGTCGAGATGACAGCCCATACCCTGACAATGTGATCCCGTCCGCCAGCAGCCAGATATTTTCCATCCTTGCTGAATTCGGTGGCCCAGATGGCGCCTCCTGTTTGCTGTGGCGCTCTGATGCCGCCCAAGCGTGTCGTGGTGCCTGTCAGCGGCACTGTACCATTGCCGGCGTCGTCCACGGAGAGCGAGCCCTCTCTAGGGTTGCCAGCCTTCAGCGGTCTCGTCCCAAGCAGTTCCTGCGCGAGGAACATGCGACTAAACTCGCGTGTCTTCTTGTTGTACGCCTTGGTGCGGATATATCTCGGGGGTTCCTTATGCTGGGGAATGTATCCGCCGCCGGCCCCAGGTGCGGCAATGGCTTGACTGAACACTCGTGCGCTTGCGCCATCTGTCGTGAGATCTGACACGGATTCTGAGTCGACGTCGCCTTTCTTTTTGCTGCGGCCAGGCATGCTCAGTCGACTAAGAAAGGAGACGCCCTTGACACCGCGCTTGTTCCATGATTCGCCCAGAGGGGACCCTTGCTTGGGTGTAGGATCGAGCAGGCCGTCAGCCGAAACGTTATCTGGTCTTGCTGGGTTGCGCAGCCGATCGGGGATAGTGTGGTCAGTGTTGGTCCGTCTAAATATCTGCTGCGACAATGGGTCAATGCCGCCGGGCGTGGGCGTGGTAGCCAAGTCTTGTGCCGATGGCGACGGTGGCCGTGGCGTAATGTTGATGGCCCCTCTCGATCCATTCTCGCTCCTATACGAAGCGGGTTTCCTCTCGCCATTTGTCCTGTCGCTGTCATTGCCGTCTCTGTCCTCTTCTTTGACCCGATCTCCTTGTCCACTCATGTCATGTCTCGAATGTCGAGTCGAGGTCCTTCGGTGTAGATGGTGGGGTGTAGTTGCATTGGGATTGGTCGTGCCTAGAAACCGGAGCCTGTCAGCAATGCCGCAACCCGGCAGATACGCGTATTGACCAGCTGCGAATCCGAAAAAATACGGTCGCAGAGTAAACAGGCTGGAGGTCGAGCTGGTCCATAAGGATAATGCGACTTACTTACCCCGCCGACTGCTTCCTGTCATCGCCAAGCGCGTCGCTGACGACGTGTGCGGCAGAAGTGGAAACGGCTCAGGAGGCTCAGAGGAAGCGGTGGACACCTGTCTGTTCCCACCATTATAATTCAACTCCCTGTTCGGATCACCACGCTTTTCCACCTCGATTTGCTGTTGATGTTGCTTCTGGCCGCCGCCCCTTAGGGCAGAGAATATGGGCGACATTACTGCGTTTGCGCTGAGTCGGAGACCCTAGCTAGGGCATGAGTGCCGCATTAAGATATTGGCAGTCTCTTGCATTGGATACCTAGCTACACAAGTCTCGATTGGAATCTGTCGTCTATTTGATCTTGATCTTTGCGTGGTGTGCTCTCGACGCGACAACGTTGTCTCTGTTTCGACGGCAAAAAGATCCATGCGTTAGTCCAGGGTAGCCTCTTCCGAAGCTGCCGAAGCCCAACAGCTCACAGGGTGGCCAAAATTTACTATCTTTGGAGCAATAATTCCTAGGGGCCTCCGCTCATATGCAGTCAATTAACCAAGCGCGATGATTCTACCGAGACTGGATTAGACGAGAAAGACGTGAGCCAGCAAGGTGGACTCGAAGACGAAGGTTGCGTATCCAATGTTGATTGTTGACATGCAGTCATCTGTGGAGAAATCCGGGCTTGTCAAAGCTTGTCTACTGTAGTCTCTAAATATACGTGTAAGATGCCCGGAGTCAGGTTACCGGATCGTTCTCCAGAAATAAATTGAATGACATGTTGTTGCATCATCAGATTTGACAATCCCGACGGCAATAGTGATGCTCGTATCGGATATTCTGATTGTGGTCTTGTTGTGTCTTGAACACTTTTTCCCTGCAGCTTGGGGAGGGGGCGTCCGTCATTGGTGCCAAGACATTAACTATCGGAACCAACCCGATAGGGCTGAGGACTTGGAAACACCAAACGGTCCTGCACTCCTAATGCCTTCACTGGTGACCCCTATACCGTAAGACACTGCCGGCCTATCGTAACATGTTCCCAGCATGTGTTTGATCTTGCAGTAGGATTTTCATCCGATGGCATTATAGATCTTGTGGCAAGAACCCATTGCTTATTGCTGCTAGATTTGCTGCCCCTGCATCCGTTCAATGCAAACGGCCTATATCGCCATGCCCTCTCCATTTTGCCCCTCATCACCGCCGGCCTCCTCGTCGTCACTCTCGTCTAGATCGAAGATGGG